TTTCTTTTAAGCTGCCAGAGGCTCCGGGCAGAGGCTTCCCATTTTGACCTCTCTCCCTGTCATTGCCTCTGCTCCTGAAGGGCCTCTGTGTGGCTCTCTGCTCACCTCTCTCAGACCTGCACATGTGTTTGTGTGAGTGTGTGCATGTCCATGTGCAGGAGGGTCTCATGTCTTGCAGCCCCACATTGTGACATTGGGAGGAATGGGAGAGATAAGAGAAGCTGTGATGGGAGTTTTTTGCAGCCTTCCACGGGGCTTGGGGTGGGAGCTGAGGGAAGCAGGGTGCCATGAGGTCCACGGCATGTTGAGAAAAAGAAACAAGTACTCCCAAAAAAACCAGCTTTCATTAGTTTGCAGCCTGCTATCACAGAAGGTCTCTGTTGAGGGTGCAGGGCTGCAAGGAGTGAGACCCCATCACAAACACAACAACAACAAAGACATGTGTGGGTCTGGGAGAGGTGAGCTGAGAACCATGCAGAGGCAACGACAAGGGGAAGGGTCAAAATGGGAAGTTTCTGCCCACCGCTGCCTGCCTGTTGCCACCTCTGCCTGGAGCTTCTGGCAGCTTAAAAAAAAAAAGAAGGAAGGAAGGAAGGAAGGAAGGAAGGAAGGAAGGAAGGAAGGAAGGAAGGAAGGAAGGAAGGAAGGAAGGAAGGAAGGAGAGGCAACTTGGTTGGAGATGCCCCAGTTCAAGGAGAAAGGAGAAAGGAGAAAGCAATTTTGTATTGTTTTGTCACAGACAGAACTTTGTTGGCAATCCAAGTTAACATTGGTATTTTGAATTGTGAGCTCTTAGGAAAGTATCCCCCCTTTGTGTATTTGCAAACAGCCAGTTCCAATGGGGAAAGCAGAACAAAGTAGTGGGGGAAAATATTTTTTTTGCCATATTTGCACTCTGAATTAGACAAAGGAGAGCCCTTTTAAGGATTATGTGTTAATAGAAAAGCAACTAATCTACCTCTGCTCATAAATGTTAAAACTGTTGCACATAAAAAGCAAAGGAGCTCTGATCAACTATAAGAACCATCATTGACAATTTTGCTGTACTGTTGTCTGTGGACAACCCCACTAAAGGCAAGCATGGGATAAGTTGATCCTGGTTTGTTCTCAATCTTAAGTGACCACAAACTACTAGCAAAAGTGGAATTTGATCACAGGGCAAGAAGGCATTGAGAAATGTTTCCTCTTTTGAATTTGGGCACCCAAGAAGGGACAGGAAGGGAAAAAGGGGAAAAGGAAAGACAAAGAAAAAAGAAGGAAAGAGGGGAAGGAAGAAGAAATAAAGGAGAATAAAAAAGGAAGGAAAAAGACATAAAGGAAGGAAGGAAGGAAGGAAGGAAGGAAGGAAGGAAGGAAGGAAGGAAGGAAGGAAGGAAGGAAGGAAGGAAGGAAGGAAGGGGATTATAATGAGAAAGATGGAGAATCTGAGGGAAGTCCTGCCTTAGCACTTGGCCACCAGCAGCCCTGCTGCCCTTTTGCCATCCCCTTGTCTGCTCCTCCTGACCTCTCTTGGTGATCTCCCATCCTATCGCTGAAAATGCTTTGGTTACAAAGCCAGGCCATGAGCAACCTGGCCAAGTAGAGCGAGCACAGTAGTAGCAGCTTTGAGAAAGAAGTAAGCACAGCCAGGCACCATTGGGGAAACAGGGCTGGGCTGGACTGTGGGGTCCTGGTGCCCTGAGAATTCAAGGACTGAGCTGGGCACTTGCCGTCCACTATCCAGGGGCTCTGAGCAGCCTGTGTCACCATCTGGGGGTCCTCCGTGTGGCAAGGCTCTCTGATGGACAAGAGTTTGGTGCTTGGCCTGGTCTCGCCTTCCTTCACGGGAGACAGTGGATCACCCCAGCCCCACCCAGACTACACAGGTTCCCCCTGATATGAGCAATGTCGAGCTGGCCATGCCCACTCTGGCCACACCCGCCCCAGCCACACCCACCTGCCCCCCCGAGGTCAACCACAACCCTGATGTGACCCTCAGTGAAATCGAGTTTGACACCCCTGCTCTAGACAGTCATTAACAGCCAAAGAAAACAGTAGTCTGGAGTTTTGTAGCACAGATTTGGTACCATATTGCTTACACTTTTATTGTTCAACCACACCAAGAGCCACTAAGTTTGATATTTAGTTTTTATTAGCTGTTTGTGCTTTAATGAAGAATATTTAATTTTGTTGAAAGTTAAACATTTCATTATTGTCCTTGCCTCTGGATGCCTATTACGTATAATGGAGAAAAACTGGTTGAACCAGAATTAAATATGTTTACTTTTGTTACTTACTAGATGTTTTCTTATGAAAGGAATCTGGTTTATATGACTTAGTTCTTTCATTGGACTTTTTCTTATTGAATCCAATATGTTTATCTACTTCTGTTCTAACTTTGCTGAATATTTTTAAAGATTTCAGTAAAGCTCATAAAACTTGGCACCTTTTGTACTCTCACTTATCAACCATGAATATGTTAGGTAACATGTTTTCTTCTTTGTCCTCATGATATTGTCTTCTATGAGCTCTGATGGCACAACGGTTAAAGTGCAGTATTGCAGGCAAACCTCTGACAACAGCATGGAGTTCAATCCTGACAGGGCTCAAGATTGACTCAGCCTTCTATTCCTCCAAGATCAGTAAAATGAGGATCCAGATGGGGCAATATGCAAATTATGCTTCTACATTGTAAACTGCCCAGAGACTGCTGTAAAGTGATCTGGGGTGGTATATAAATGCTATTGCTATTTATTTTATCTCCACTCATAACTGAGGCAACTTAAAGTGCCATGATACCTACTAGCCAGATATAAAATGGGCACATCCAGTGGTGGGATTCAACCGATTCACACCACTTCGGCAGAACCGGTAGCTAATTTTTTGTTGCGCAGGCCCAAAATGGCCTTCTGGAAGCAGCATCCACAAAGAGAACAGTTGTTCCCATATTTAAATCCCACCCTATCCCTGCTGTCTCTGGAATTGTCTTACATGGTCTTCTGTTTTGGAGAGTGGCAAAGAAACATTTTTGCCAGATCACTAAACCAATTCCTGAATATCAATTGACAACAGTAGCAACAGGAGAGCTTCACAATAGAACTCTCCCTTTGTATATATCAAATGTTGTTTGCAGTGCTTTTGAGACAGATTTGTCATCTTCTGGGATAGCTTTTTTCTAAATAGTGAACAACATTGCTTGGTCTAGAGATGGCACCAATATATTAATTGCTTTGCTTAAGAACTTACAAAAATGAATAAAACCATCCAAAAAATTAAAAATGCCAAACAAAGCAAATTATGAAAAAGGCAGAGGAACATGGAATCAGATTGTTAATCAAATGAAAAACTGATGGGAGGAACAAGGATTTTAATTGATTATAACAAGGTTTCTGTGTAGAACATGGCAGATGTGGAATATATAATAATCACAATCATGCCAGACCTTTTTTTTTTTTTTTTTGAGAAACCCTTGCAATGAAGTTAAGTAGGTGAAACTGTGGTGTATCTTGTCTCCATATTTGGCTAAATTGGTTTTTTATAATTAACAAGTAGAAACATGCTATGTAATGTGATTAGGAGGTAGACAAGAAGTTTGGGGGAGGTTTGAAGGAGGTACATGAAGGGGAAAAACAGTGGAAAGGATCAAGTCTTCTGTCCATATTCAGCAAAAATGGTGGATACTGAGGATTCCATAATCCTTTGTCAGAAGCCTAGATATTGACAGTTTTTGTGATGCATGTTACATATATTTTTTTTGTCTGGGATTTCTTTTTTTAAATAATGTATAATAATATTTTACCTTTTTACCTTCTTACATAGGTACTTTGCATAGTTACAAAAAGCTACTGTAAGATGAAAAAGCTAAAGGCTATTAGATCTGAGCTGTAAAAAACCCTACTAGATGGTAGTTAAAGATGATACCTCTCCTGTTAAGGTTAAAAGCATACAGTATAACCTTGGCCAATTGAATTTTGATAAATATTGGATTTGTTTTTTATAATTTTGGTTAATTACAAATTGTTAATGTTAATTCTTGCTTAAACCTTTTCTAGTTCTCAGCAGCTGAAAATTGAATATTTTACAGCAGTTTATTTTTTTCAAATAGTCATGTAGTTATTAGCCTAACATTACATTCCAAGTTCTTAAAGAAACACTTTTATTATATTTTATATTTATTTGCTTAATATAATTATATACTGCTTCACTTGGATAGATTCTAATTGATGTACAATTAATTAATCCATATAAAATGAATCACAATTAATAATTAAGAACAAGAAACCCATGGCTTATAAACAGAAAAAAACCCTAATTTTTCATGTTAAAAACTGTGAGATTAAACTATTGATTTTTATAATACCTCCCCATCTTTTAAATGTAATTTCACTCTTGATTGTAGTTCTATTTATTGTCTTTAGAAATATTTATGTTTTATGGTTTCATATCTTTTAATGTTATAAGCTGCCCAGAATTGCCTTGAATCAGGATGGGCAGTAAATACATTTAATAACTAAATAAACTAAAAATGAATAATGTAAATTCCTTAAACCACTTAGCAATAATGCTGGCCATAGCATAATTAAAAACAGAAGCAAAGTATGTGAAACCAGAAAAAGGAAAATATGTTCATAATAAAGGAAAGAAATATACCTCATAAACTAATCCAACATGGTTCAGTCTAAATGGTCATTTGAAACTGGTCTTCAAAGCCCATTGAAAGGATGGCAGAGTCAGGGTGACAGTCTACCCTTGAATTGCAAGCTAAAAGCTCATTGGTAACCTGTACAGTTTTTGTAGTGGGCATGTTTTTTTCACAAATCAATAATGAGACTGGTAAAAATATAATAAAAGAATAGAAATAAAAAGAAACAAAATCTAGCAAATCATAGGGAGCTTTGGGGAAGATTGGCTTTGACTGTGATGCTGAACTGAAATTATGAAACCTCATCTAACAAAGACATAATTTTTAAGACCTGAAAAAATTGTATGATTATACTGATGAAAAATTTTCTTGTTTTTAGTTTGGTGGCCACCAAGGAAACTGACAGTGTGAGATCCCGTAGTACGCCAATGTCTCCTTCGGATTTTCTGGATAAATTAATGGGAAGAATGTCTGGCTATGATGCAAGAATCAGACCAAATTTCAAAGGTAATTTAATCTCCTAAATTATTTATTTAATTCTAGTATTTTCATTTGTGCCAAATATATACACATATTGAAATTTGGAGAGAATTTGCAAAGGAGAATCTTAATTGAAGACAAAGCATTTTAAAAAAAAAAAAAAAAGAATACAGGAGATACTGAATCAATTACAATATAAAAAGGATGCTTATAAAATTTTTGAAAGAATATGAAAGGGTTTATTTTGTATTTACACAAATATATTTGAAACTAGGATATTTAAAATTATATTAAATAAGCCATCATTTTATTTATTAATAATGGTAACCTGCGGGGTAAGGAAGACATAGTGTGTTAATCCAGCAACAATTTCATAATCAAAACATTATTACAGTGAAATCTAGGGTCTTTTATAGTTATTAAAATCCTATTATTTTTATAATTAAAATTGACATGTTTTTGTAATATTAAATAATACTAGTATTAGTGTTAATATTTCTAATACTAGTATTGCCTAATACTAGATAACACAAACAAAAATCTATGAATAGGTATACAGTGAAAACAAATGCATTACACTGAAATTCTTTTCATTATTCATTTATTACTTTATAGGCCCTAGGTACATTTCTTTCTTAAATTTCCCATGATTTTTTAATTTATTGACAATCTTCTTGTGTTTCTAGAATTTCACATTCATTTGATTGTGAATTTATATTGTATTTATTATTATTGCTGTTATTTTTATCCTTACTGTTGTGTCCTGAGCCTGCAAAAGTAAGTTCGGGACATTGCTATGGTCCCGGGGTTGCTGCAAGCTGCCCGGGACCAGACTGAGCGGTGCCAGCCTTGCGCACATGCAAGTGCGCCATTAACTGTAACTGTTTTGCCTGGGGATCCAAACACAAAAAGCAGAGACCTGCGAGTCTCACAGTTGTTGTTGGAGTGAGCAGAAGGAGAAATAAAGAGCTGTTGATTCAACCATGTGTGATCTTCATTCACCATTAAACAAAGGACTTAACACTGGCGACGAAGGTGGGATTGCTTGCAAGCTTAAAGAAGAAAAGTTGTAAGACTTACCCAAGGAGTCCTTGAAGAAGGGAAGATGGTGTTAAACTCAGCATTCTAGCCTGCCAGTACAACATCACTGGAGGTAAGCTCGGCTGATAGACTCCTTCTCAAGCAAGAAGCAAGGATGGCAAAGATAGGTCAATTATCTGAGTTTGATGTTTCACACCCAGAGAGATGGGAGTCTTATGTTGCAAGAGTAGAAAACTACTTCAGAGTAAACCAGGTCAGAGAAGATGGCTTGAAAGCTGCAACTCTGTTGTTTTGTTCTGTGGTCAGGACGCATTTGAAATTGCAGAAAATCTGGTAGCCCCTGCTCCTCTGGAGTCTGTAACGTACACAGATTTAAAGAAGCTATTGAAAGAACATTTCCAGCCCAAGATGTCTGTTATTGCGTGGAGACCCACATTTGAGCAGAGGGACCAGAGGGCAGGTGAATCAGCCAAGCAGTTTATTGCGGCCTTGAGGAGAGCAGCCAAACCATGTGAATTCAAGGATCTGGAAGAAAGGCTGAGAGACCATTTTGTATATGGTCTAAGGAACAGGGACATACAACAGAGGATCTTTGCAAAGGAAGATATCTCATTCCAAGATGCTCTAAGAGAGGTGACGGCTGAGGAAGCAGCAGGTGGGGCAGTCAAGAATATGCGGCCCATCAGGAACAATCCGGAGGTGGTCTCTGTGCACTATGAGGGCATTCAAGAAGGATTGGAGGAAGATCCTGAAGAAGAGGTGGATTGGCATTACCAATCAGCAGAAAGAAGGCAGAAGGAAGGCAAAAAAAAAAGCCCCAACAGCACCCAAATGCTTCTGGTGTGGAGGTCACCATAAGAGAGCCGACTGCAGGTTCTGTTCTGCCATCTGCAGAGTGTATGGCAGGCAAGGCCACATAGCATCCATCTGTTTGGGTCGCCAGAAGGTACAACCTCGAGAAGAATTGCATCTGAAAGGTACCAGGGTCCCCAGCCAAAATAAGGTGGGTTTCTGCGCGTCGCGCAGGAGTGTTTACAGAACAGGCACTCACAAACCCCTTTAAAAAAGCTGTCACTTAAGGTTAGGTTGCAAGGGGTTCCTTTAGCCATGGAGCTGGACACTGGGTCCGCTCTTTCAATTATTTCCATTCATACATTTAGAAAGATTTGCAACAGCAGTGGCTTTCAGGCCAAACTTAGGCCATCCAACATAATACTAACAGATTTTCAAAATTCCAAGGTGTGTGTAAAGGGGGAGGCCATCCTTACAGTGCAACACAAGGATTTTGAGGGTCCACTAGATGTGTTGGTTGTTGGGGGTGAATGAACGGATCTTATAGGACTCAATTGGTTTGAGGCCTTGGGAATCCAGGTTACTGGACTGCAAAATTTGCAAATGCTGGGCCTAGCAGAAGTCTTCGAGGAGTTCGCAGATGTGTTTAGTCCACAGCTTGGGTCCTACAAGGGGCCTTCAGTTTCATTGAGGTTAGACCCAACAATCACACCCATTAGGGTTAAGGCTAGGAGAGTACCCTTTGCCCTCAAGGGCAAGATTGATGCTGAGCTGGATAAATTGATCCAGCAAGGCATTTTAAAACCTGTAGATTCAAGTCTGTGGGAAACCCCCATAGTAACGCCTCTCAAGGCTAATGGGGACATACACATATGTGCAGACTACAAGTGCACACTAAACAAGGCGCTGCAACACGTGTACCCAGTACCAGTAGTCAGCCATATTTTAGCCTCCCTCAAAGGGGGGCGAGTTTTTGCAAAGCTAGATCTGGTACAGGCATATCAACAATTACCTGTTGATGAAGCAGCTGCTGAGGCACAGACCATTGTAACGCATAGGGGTGCATTCAAGGTCAAGAGACTGCAATTTGGGGTAAATGTAGCCCCTGGCATATTCCAAAGTGTCATGGAGAGTACACTTAGGGGTATCCCTGGAGTCTGCCCCTATTTTGATGATGTCCTTATTGCTGGAGAATCTTCTCAAAACTTAGCAGAGAGGTTAAGGGCTGTCTTGCTCCGTTTTTGAAGAGCAGGCCTTAAGTTGAAGAAGGACAAGTGTAAGATAGGAGTCAATTCTATTGATTTCTTAGGATTCAGGATAGATGCTCAAGGTATTCACTCTGCTGAATCGAAGTTACAGGCTATACAGCAGACTCCAAGCCCCAAGTCTAAAAGTGAGCTGCAGGCTTTTCTGGGCCTCTTGAACTTTTACAATGCATTTCTCCCTCACAAAGCTGCAGTAGCAGAACCATTACATAGGCTTTTAGACAAGCAGGCATCTTGGCAGTGGACAAAAGTCCATGAAAAGAGCTTCAATGAGGTCAAGGCTTTGCTCATGTCTAATGCTGTGCTTGCACACTTCAATGAGCAATTGCCTGTCTGCATTGCCTGCAATGCATCTCCATATGGGGTGGGAGCTGTACTTATCCACTTGAGGGCTGATGGAACTCAGGTTCCTGTGGCATATTACTCTAGGACTCTGTCTTCTGCTGAGCGTAATTACGCTCAAATAGACAAGGAAGCATTGGCCATAGTGGCCAATTGTCAGAATGAAAGTGCTTGCGCACAGCCATCTCTGGTGGCCTGGGCTAGATAAGGCTATAGAGGCTCAAGTGCACGGGTGTCAGTTGTGCCAGCAGTCATGGCCAGAAATGCCTCAGGCCCCAGTTCATAGGTGGGAGGAAACTCAATCACCATGGTCCAGAGTGCATATAGATGACGCTGGGCCCTTTCAGGGGCAATTCTTCTTGGTTGTTGTTGATAGCCATTCAAAGTGGCTAGAGGTTGTTCCTGTTTCCTCCACTACTACTGCCAGGACAATCCAGGTGTTGAGAAGCATTTTTGCTGCACACAGCCTTCCAGATGTTCTGGTTTCAGATAACGGTCCTCAGTTCACTTCTTCTGAGTTCCAGGGTTTTCTTCAGGCCAACATGATCTGTCATGTGACTTCAGCTCCTTTCCACCAATGGTATGGCTGAGCGTATGGTGCGTATCACCAAGGATGCCCTCAAGAAACTGACTTACAGTGACTGGCATCACAGGTTAGCAGACTTTCTTCTTGCACACCGCACCACACCTTGTACATCCACTGGAAAGAGCCCAGCTGAACTCCACTGGGGTCACAGACTAATAACTAAGCTTGACAGATTACACCCTGATCGGGTGGCATCTCAGGTTTCACAGCCACGGGCACCACGGTGTTTGCAAGTGGGTGCTCCAGTCTGGACCCAGAACTATGGGCCCGGTCATCTTTGGATTCCAGCTGTGGTCTGCAAGGTCATTGGACCTTTGTCCTACGAGGTGTCTGTGGATGACGGCTCCGTTCTCTGGCGGCACATAGACCAGCTGCATACGAGACTGGACTCTTCCACTCCTGGCTCTTCTCTGGGGAGGGAGGGTTATAGTGTGCATGTTGGGGATCGCTATCAGCAGTCACTGGCCACCGAGGAGGCCAGGGAAGGCCCATCTCAAGTTTCTGCAAGTGTGCCCAACAGGAATTCATTGGGAAGGGGAACATTCCCCACACTGTCACTTACTCCAGCCAGGGAGTCACACAGGGGGTACCCACACTACTCAAACACACCAGACAGCATTCCAGACAGGTAGACTAACTGGGGGTATCCAAACAAATCAAAGAATACAAGAGAACTGGCATCAACCCAAGGGAACTGCCCCAATTCCGCAACTGCTCTCAGAAGGAAGTCACTGGGAAAGGGGGTAAACAAAGAGGGGGGCCACGAGGTATCGGGGCACAGCAAATACCCCGGACAATCCATCAGCTGGGTTGGGGAATGAGGGGCTGTGTTCCTAAGGAAGGTCCATTGTGGACCTGGAGAATACCACAAGTCCAAGGAATACTGAATGGGACTAAGAGGGTCCAGATAGCCTACAATTTGGCAGGTCAACTGGGTATGGAGAGGAGCAAAGTCCTGGTCTGCCAAGCCTGGTGGGCAAGCAAGCAGGCCAGGCAACAGAACCAAGGTCACCTGGGCAAATGGGGCAGCAAAGAGTGGTAATTGAGCAGGGAAGCCAAGGGTGTTCCCTGGGTCCAAGGAGGTTGCAACGGGTTAAATACCCACCCAAACACCTTAGGGAGTTTGTAAAGTGACTGTCAAGTCACGGGGGAAACAAGGCAGTAATGCCTTAAATGAATGGTGGAGTTATTGGTTTGTTTTTGGAATGTCAGGTACAATTATTCCCAAAGTGATAGCATGGTATCACACAAGGGTGTGATCCATGAGTAACATCAATATCCACAGTCCATGCATTTGATTTGATGGAATCTTATACCACATCCCTTCAGAGAGGTTGCACATGTGTGCGGAGAAAGTTTCATCTGGGGGGAAGAGCTGTTGTGTCCTGAGCCTGCAAAAGCAGGCTCGGGACATTGCTATGGTCCCGGGGTTGCTGCAAGCTGCCTGGAACCAGACTGAGCAGCGCCAGCCATGCGCGCATGCGTGAGGCGCGAAAGCACGCCATTAACTGTAACTGTTTTGCCCGGAGATCCGGACACAAAAAGCAAACCTGCGAGTCTCACAGTTGTTGTTGGAGTGAGCAGAAGGAGAAATAAAGAGCTGTTGATTCAACCATGTGTGATCTTCATTCGCCATTAAACGAAGGACTTAACACTTACCATGATGGATTCTGTGTTGCTTTATAAAACAAATCATCATTAAGCACAATAAGAATAAAAATTTGGATAAATAAATAAATAAAACTTTATTATTGTATCTTGTTACATGTTTTGACTAAGTTTTATACTACCTAAAGCTGGAAGTAAAATCCATAATGGAAAGTAAAGACTGCATGGCACTTAAACCAAAAGAGGAAAGATATTTCTGAAAATAATGCTAGAATAAAAAACACAAGTAACTTTTATTCTATAACTTTTTGGCACCAAATAAATTTAACCAAAAAACAAACAAATAAATTAATGTTCCAAGTTGATATCAATTAGGATGGTCAAATGTCCAAAAGCAGGATAGTTGGGACTAAGACTTGGCTGCTAAAAATGGAAAGAAATCATGGCACTTAAAATGGTGATGGAGGAAAAATTGGTTATTTAACTAGAAAAAGGAATAAATTATTTGATAATTTAGTTCTTATATATTCAAGTTAGTTTATTATGCTAATTTTGGGACTCCAATTTTTAACAACTACATAGCAGACAGTTCAATCATGCTCCTTTTTACATTGGGAATTTAGTATAGACATGTACAGGCTTCAGTTGCTTCAGTTATTCAAAATATGTAAGAGATGACATAGTTTTTTTAGTGTTTTTCTTTCCACATACTTGCTTTTATCTGACTGTTTTTAATAGATAAAGAAAATAGAGAAAAAGAATTGCCTCTCTTACGCATTGTCCACCATCTGCTGTTCTTCCATCCTTGCTCACTCCTCATCTCGACTTGGTTCATTCCTTACTCCTCTCTCATTAGCTCAGGCTTTGCTCATCTTCCTGCTTGCACAGGGTCCATACACTTCAGTTGGTCAACCCAGGGTTAGTGTTGGAGGGTTTTTGTTCGGTCACTGGGTTTTTATATATATAAATCATGATCTCCCTGGGAACCCCTAGTGGCCTCTTGAAGAATCCTAGGGTTCCCGTAACCTTGGTTGAAGAACCCTGGTTTAGCATACAGACAATACTGCCAAAATGAGTCTAATTTTCTTTCAACAATTCCTTATGATTAGATCTATACAGTAAATGCTTTTTTACAATAGCCTTAGAGCAAAGGATTAGATCAGATTTACTAACTAATTCATTTGCAAATCAGCAAATCATGCAAATATTGCAGATATGTATAGCCATGCAATGCTACACTGATCCTCAGGCCATTGAAGATAAACTGAGGCAGGTATACTGTATACTGTAAACTTCTATAATTACTTAAGATGAAGTATAATTATAATACTGCAATATAATTTCAGATCTGAATTATCTTCTTCATTATTTTTAATTCCTATGCCACCATTGCCATGACTTAAGCTGTTAATATTTATTTATCACTGTTTAGCTTATCAGCACAACGTCCAGTTCAATTTAATATAAAGCTGTTCTAAATAGAAGATTATTTCAAACAAATAATTTCCTCTTCTTTCTTTGTGCTTTTAAAAAGATCTCATAAAAGAGGATATAAATAGAAAGCTTAAGTCTTAGTGATTCATTAAATGATTGGATTTTAAGCTTAGAATATATACAGTACAATATTCCGATCTACTATATTATAGTGTAGAATGGATTTCAACTTCAACTTCAAAATATTTAGGATGCTGTTTTGTATTTTTGGCTGATTTTTTAAAAAAAATTATATACTGAATTTGAAAATTCTCTGCTCTTATTCTTGTAGTACAGTTGGCCAGTTGAATGGTTTTGGAGTTTGATCTATACAATTCTATTCAAATTCACCAACTACAAGGGGCAAGCTTCTGTTTGCAAGTTTGTGTTGGTTTGCAATTACTGTAAAAGCTAATATGCATTTTCTTGGCAGAATTTCCAATGTCCATTTCTTTTTTCCTGGTGGTAGTTTGTGGTATTTTACAAGTACTTGGATTCCAGTTAAGCAGAAAGCAGAAAATACAATAAACAAAATATTATAGTTACACTATGTATCCACAGTGCTATATATTTGAAAAAGAAAAATATGTGAAAATTATATACAACTAATTTAATTAACTCAGCTGATTAAAAAGGAAGTTACTATGCTGCAAAACAAAACATCAGCTTTCAGAATTTTATTTTATTATTTTTTAAAATAAATTTACAATGGGTTTCATTGTAAAAAAAAAAGAAAGAATGACTACAGCATTATTTATTAGTTTGTACCTGTTTATCCTCACAAAAGAAGGGAAAAAGCTGTAGGTAGATAACAGATATCCTATAAGAGTGGGAGAATGTGATAGCAACTAAGGCTACCAGATTTTTTTTCTAGTGAATTAGTGTTTTTTGACTGGCCATTATCAATTGGGCAATTAGTTCATCAATAGGATTTGATCATTCACACATAAAACATGGAAGTGATATTAAGATAGGCAACAAATAATCAATTGATCATCTTCATTTAACTGAACCATTTGGGACAATTTAATATTTCTCTTTAATTTAATTACAAGAAGGCATGCTTCAAATGATTTTTAAAAAACATTTTAACACTATAATAATTGCCCAAAAATGGAGTGAATACCCTTTTACTAGTATATTCATGTCATTTATTGTAAATATTTTACATTTTATTTGTGCTTTTAAATAGAAGAGTTTTTGCCTCTAAATGTTTGCAGTTACGATGTAAAACATATGTGGATCATGACACTGGCATGAAATTTCCTTATTACCTTTCAGAAGTATGTAATATGATTAGATTGAATTAGATAGGTTTGAATTGGAGGAATAGCTTTGCAAAATAATATCACTTTTAGTCATTGTGCTTTAGAACTGCATTGTCTATTGTATCCCTCAAAATAAAATCAGCAACTCAACAAGTTGCACGAAATTATTTTTCAAAAGCTTCCAAATATTTGATTCAATTCTCATGAATTCTTTATTGTTCAGAAACAATACTTCTAGCAGCTTGGTCAATTACTAATGGATTGCAAGAATTATCAGTATCAATCCAATATAGACACATGATTATCATGCAGTATAATATTCGATATTCAAACTGCATCCTCAAAATATCTTTCTTTTCCACTGAAAATTAGGCTGTTAATAAATCTTGAAAATAATACAAACTTCACTTTCATATAGACACTGATTTCTTCATGCCTTATTGTTTTATAGGGCCTCCAGTAAATGTTACATGCAACATCTTCATTAATAGCTTTGGATCCATTGCAGAAACAACAATGGTAAGATGCTCTTTATGGAAAATTCAATATATTAAAGTTTACTTATTTAGTATATGGCATCACTGATATACAACGCTAATAAAACACAATATACATACAGACAAATACAAGTTTAAAAGAAACATCAGCTAATATATGTACAACATACAAGATGAAATATTAAATTAAGGTAAAATAAAATAAAAATACTATGATGTAGCACTATAAAGTCACAACAGGATAAATGTTATAATTCAATAGGATGCTAACCATCTAACTACAACATATTTTAGTGACCGTTGTACACAAATGACTTTGAAATGAGTCCCTAAATATGTGTAAGAATAAGTGGTGGAGCAACTAAAAATATTATGCATTTATTGCATAATAATTATGCATTATTCTATGTGATTCCAATGCTCCTTTACAAATATATGCTTCCATTCATTCTTTAGAAAGGAAAAAGAAAATCCCAAATTCTCCTTTCATCAACCCTTTTCACACTGAATAGCCTTGTCAATTGCTCACACGCACAGCTTCAAGTTTGTTTTCTGATTCTTTTCATTACCTCATTATGGATCATTTCTAGAAGCATATTACTTTTTGTACAACACTAAAACAAAACTAACCTTCTGTAGCTGCCTTCCATTTATTGTTAAACTTGAACTTATTAATTTATCTATTTATTCTCTTCATATATTAGTTCTTACTGTTACACTAACCCTTTTTTGTCTACATTATGTTGAATTGCCTATTTGTATATGTAAGGTTTGAAATAATTCAATGGTTTAAAATTAATAAGTGCAGCAATTAAATTAGTTTCTTCCCCTAGTCAAAGTAATGGATTTCTGATTATATTCATTGTCTCATTGATCTTTTTCTATTCTCTCCTTGGGGTCTCATATTGTCCCTTTGCATTACTTTTATTTATTCAAGATTACTATCTCACCTGACCAGAATTTCCTGCTTTAATAAAGATTCCTCTATGCTTATTTATTGTTTGCTATCATGTCCACATACTTCTTAAGTCTCTTTGTTCATTGATATCCCTGTTTTTCCCTCTCCTTATTTGTTTGTGCAGTTATTTATTTATTTTGTAGGACACCAAATCTAGATGCCTCTCCATAGGTTCACAAAATTAAATTAACAATTTTATGAGCAACTTGTCTGAAGGAACAAAACTACTCTTCCGTATACTGCCCTAGCTTAAAGTGGCCCATCCAACCAACTTAACCCAAAGCCTGGCAGAAAAGCTAGTATTTTAAAGAACTCTTGAAGGTAGACAAAATGAGACCATATGTATCTACAGAATGATGTTGTTCAAACAACAGGTACAGCAACATTAACTAAACAACATGACATTACTTAATCAGTGGATTTTGAAACAAGTTGACTCTATTGAAGTGCACAGACAGTTAAAGACTATGGGGAAACAATTAGGCCCTGTGGTACTTATGGTTTTATAGGCAACAACCAGCATTTTGAATTGCATCCAGAAGCCAATTGATAAAGAATATGCATACATATCAGTTTTATATGGGCATAACAAGATTTGCCCAACCGATAGTGACTAACTGAATGAAAATGTAGCCAAATCCATAAATAAAAGTGCACTTCTGGTTCTTATTAAGAGTACATTCAATCATCTTAATGATGAAGAAGAGCAATCTAAACACATTGATTTGCTTCTGTCACATAAAGAAATGGAAAATATTGTAAGTGGAGTCATATTTGAACTGTACATCCATTGGATCTGTCATCTGATGTAAAACCATATGGGGAAAGGCCCTGGTTGCCAAAGAGGAATAAGTAAATCTATTCTGATTACACTGACTATGCTTGTTCAGCCTTAAAGAGATCTTGTCCTTGCATCCAGAGACCTCTTCATTTCATCTCTCATTTTAATCAAGAATGAAAACTGCAATTTTGGATACATATGCTCATATAAATCTCCAGGGCCCTGAGTACAAACAGTTATAATTTTTCATTACACCAAATAAATAGTTTTCATCAACTAGTATTAAATTGTAGTCCTTATTTTAGATATTGCCAGTATCAAAAGGTTTCCTTTTAAATTATGCATCTTTCCAGCTAAAATGATTTTTTTTTTGCCAAATTTAGTCAGGATCAAAGCAGTCATTTTATAACATGAGCATGATAAAATACACAGCTCTATTTCTGAAAATACATTGCTTCAGCTTCAATGTTCTTTAACTTTTTTCATAATAAGACAAAATAAAATTGTAAGCACCCAGTCACCTGGTTGAGTTGGGCAGCTAGAGAAACTGAATAAATAAATAAATAAAATTAAACTAGGCTATTTATATGCATTATGCATCACATATATGTAGTACTTTAATGTAGTTTTAGTTAGTAGGATATCATTCTCTAGATGCATGCTTACTTTTGAAAATGTTCCAGAGATTAGAGATTCAAATCAGACAATTTCACCAATATCTAGTTATATTGGGAACTAGTTGTCAAAGAAAAGATTGTATTGGTAAAACAGTCCCTTTACATTATATAATCTTTCAAACATTTTATATAAAGAGGTGTCATTTGATTCTTCCTGTTGTGTCCTGAGCCTGCTGAAGCATTCAGCAGGCTCAATGTTGCAAATGGTTCTGGGCAGACCAAAAGATGCCCACGACCAGACTGGCTGTCGCCAGCCTTGTGCGCATGCGCAAGGCACCAAAACAGCCAGATTCCTATTGGCTGACACTGTCCGGGTTTTGGACAGTATAAAAGGTCTGCATGCCTTTTGGTTGTTGTTGGTTGTAAGGAGAAGTCAATAAAGAAAGCTTGATGTTCACCATGTGTCTTCGTTTAATGCCTGAGACCTGAAAACATAAAACTGGCGACGAAGGTGAGATCGCTGCAGGCAAGAGGGAGATTTACAACTGAACCAAGGATTCACAGAAGGTTCTGAAGCTTGGGAAGTCAGTGTCCAGCTCTGTGACTCAGCCTGCAGTACAACATCGCTGAAGGTGAGCTTGGCAAACGGACTCCTTCCCCCCCAGTAAGATGAGCCTTGCAGCGAAAGGCATTAACGAGGCCTGTGAAGACTTAAGATGTTGAAGATTGGCTGCTTATCTGACTTTGATGTCTCCCACCAGGAGCGCTGGAATTCATAGGTGGCACGGGTGGAGAACTACTTTAGGGTCAATCAGATAAGGGAAGACGGCCTAAAAGTGGCGACCCTGCTGTGTGTTTGTGGACAGGAAACGTTCGACATAGCAGAGAACCTGGTGGCCCCTGCGCTTTTAGGTCTCAGGCATTAACTTATACTGACTTCAAGAAAATGCTTAAAGAATATTTCCAGCCTAAACTTTCTGTAATTGCTTGGAGGCATGTGTTCGAGCAGAGAGACCTTAAGAGAAGTGGCCAGACCTTGTGAATTCAAGGATCTGGAAGAGAGGCTGAGAGATCCTTTCGTTTGTGCCCTACGAAGTAGGGAGCTGCAACAGAAGATCTTCACCAAGAAAGAAGTTTCATTCCAAGATGCATTGAGAGAGATTGCAGCTGAAAAAGCAGCAGGCGGCGCTGTGAAGGCTTTGCGGCTCACCAGAAACCCTCCAGCCACTGTGACCATCCATCAAGAGGTCGCTAGAGAAGATCCAGAAATGGATCCTGAAGAGGAAGTGGATAGGCTACACCAGCCAGCTGAGAGAAGGCCAAAGGAGCGTCCAGACAAGGCTTCAGCATCTCCTCAGTGCTTCGGGTGTAGGGGATGCCACAAGTGCACAGACTGCAGATTCCGCTTCGCCATTTGCCAGGCATGTGGAAGGCAAGGCCACATTGCCTCCATCTGTTTGGGTCGCCAGAAGGTCCAACCTTGGGAAGAATTGCTTCGGAAAGGTACCAGGGTCCCCAGCCAACACAGGGTGGGTTTCTGCGCATCACGCAGGAATATTCTGAGGACAGGGACACACAAGTCCCTTAAGAAAAAGCTTCACATTGACGTGAAGCTGCAAGGGATTCCCTTATCGATGGAGTTGGACACAGGGTCTGCTCTATCAATCATTTCACATGACACCTTCAAAAGGATTTGCAGCAGTAGTGGCCTTCAAGTCAAACTCAGGCCATCGAACTTAGTCCTCATTGATTTCCAGAATTCTAGAGTCAGTGTGAAGGGGGAGGCTATGCTCAAAGTGCAGTGTAAGGCTTTTGAAGGCCTATCAGATGTGGTGATAGTTGGGGGTGATCGCACGAGTGTCATTGGACTTGATCGGTTCAAGGCTCTTGGAATCCAAGTGACTGGGCTACACAGCCTGCAAATGCCAGACTTGCAGAAGTCTGCAGGGAGTTTGCTGATGTGTTTATCTCAGAGCTTGGCTCTTACAAGGGGCCTCCCATTGCCCTACACTCCCATTGCCCTGCCCTCCCATTGCCCTATCACACCTATTAGGATTAAGCCTAGAAGGGTGCCTTTTACTCTCAAGAGCAAAATTGATGCAGAGCTGGACAAGCTGCTCCAGCAGGGCATCTTAGAACCTGTGGACTCTAATCCATGGCAAACCCCCATTATAACGCCTTTAAAGGCTAATGGAGAAGTCCGAATCTGCGCGGACTATAAACGTTCATTGAACAAAGCACTGCAACAGCATGCATATCCAGTCCCTGTGGTAAGCCACATTCTGACCTCCCTCAAGGGGGGAGCAAAACTCAATTTGGCACAGGCCTACCAACAGCTACCTGTTGATGAGGCAACAGCTGAGGCTCAAACAATAGTAACACAGAGAGGAGCCTTTAAGGTTAAAAGATTACAGTTTGGGGTTAATGTAGCCCCTGACATATTCCAAAGTGTCATGGAGCACACATTTCGTGGTATTCCTGGGGTCTGTTCCTATTTTGATGATGTCCTCATTGCTGGGGAGTCATCTCTAAACTTAGCTGAGAGATTAAGGGCTGTCTTGCTTCGTTTCCGCCAAGCAGGTCTGAAACTGAAGCAAGAAAAGTGTAAGATTGGAGTCACTTCCACTGAATTCTTAGGTTTCAGAATTGATGCTCAAGGCATCCAT